TACATACATATATATGTATACACATGCACAGACATGTCATAATATATTTATATGCAGATACATAGACCACTGCATGTATATACCTATGCATGTTTCTATGTAGGTAGTAGGTAGGTATGTCTGTCTGTATATGTATGTATCTGTCTCTGTATAAGTAAGCCTAGCAGGGCACCATATATATATANNATACATACATACATATGCATATATGTATGTAAGCATGCACCTATCTGTATAGCTGTAACTACATGTTTCCTAGGTACATACAAGCTAATATGCAGTTCGGTGCTTCGTGTCACTATTCATACTATGCTGAGATACTACTGTCTGCACATCTATGTATGTATCAGCATGTATGTATGTATGTATTTATGTATGTATGTATGTATGTATGTATGTATGTATACATACATACACATACACATGTTATATATCGCGGATTGTTTTTGCATATATATATATATTGTATTTTTCCTTCCTGTCATTTACTTCAACCTACAAATACTAATATGTCTCTCTGTGTGTCCATGTTTGTCGGGGTCACGTCCTTTCTTTTGTTCTATGTACTTTGTAAACCTCCATTGTGATTATGTCAGTCTATTACATGTACTAATCCCTCTAGCCTGCAGGATGCTCCGCTACTTCAACCAGAAGAAGAAGCGCGGCCCAGCTGCTTCGGAGAGCCTTCGTGCCATCTGGGAATCAGAGGATGGCTGATCCTTGGCGCTGATACATGTGTCCCTGCATGTCCTGAATGTGCACCTACATGTGCCTAGGACATGTAGCATCTCTTGTAGCATGCATGCATGTGCATATACACGAGACTGCATGGCATGTCTGCTAGAACAGCAAAGCCTGCTGGATTGAGGTGAGAAGGTTCGAAAGCTGCTGAAAGATCATGGGACTTTCAAGGACGTTGAGGTCTCGTTGAAGAAAAAAACTATCGACAGTGAAACGAATGCATTGGCGGGAGAGTATGTGAATGAAGCAACCTTGATCAACATCCATGGCTGGGATGAGTGGCTTTGATTGAATTAGGCATGCTTACACTTCTGGCGAATGTACTAGCTAGAGGCACCAGCTCCTCACATACATGTCTGGTCTCAACCATGTATCCCCCAAACTTAGCCAACTTCCCCTGGTACTTGAACTGTGTATAGATTATCTAACTAGATCGAGTATCTGTATGTTGCTGATAACTCGTACTTCAAATGCGAGACCATAACTGCATGATGGGTTTGTAACACTTGTGATGTCGTGTAGCACCGTCATCTCTGGCCACATTTTGCAAACCAGTGCCAGAAAATTATACAGCTGCACAGGCCTCGACTGATGGCAAGCACATGATAACTCTTGCTGCACCAATACATCCGGCCTGGTTTGGAAGATCCCTCCCCCTTAATGGCCTGGCAGTATATGCGGAAACTAGGGGCAGAAAGGATATGTGCATTTTATGCCTTTCCCCAGACACAAGACTTAAACACGAATAAAAAAGTAAGTGAAACCAACCACAATCTATAGCACTTGCTTGCTCAGGGACATGATCAAGTTCTCCAAGGAACGTGCCCGGGCTGCTGGCATGCTGAGGAAGAGTGAGGAGCACGGCAAGGATGAATGGAGGGCTGTCCTCTCCGAAAGCTTCCTAAAGAAAAACGAGAAGATACAGGAGAAGGAGCAGCAAGCCTCTGAAGTGATGGAGGCCCGTGTGCATATATAATATATACTACATAGACCACATGACCAAGGTCAACTAACTTAGTCACAGTTACATGTACATATATATATA